TTTTAAAATACTTTGATCATCTTTGATTATCTAAACACTTATGTTTATAACAAACTAATTTTCGCCCGACATTCAGTCCGCGTATCATTAAAAAAGTCAGTAGCCTATATGTTCTTCCAGATTATGCTTGAACTCTATGTCAAATTTAATTGAAATCCGTTCAGCCGTTTAGGCTACAAACTCTAAACATCCAATCCATAACTTTCACATTTATAATATTAAGTATGATTTTGATAGATAATGTTTTTTTGAAATCCTTTAATAAACATCCAACTAACGAGGTAAACCGTGACGTTTCAGGTTTGAACAATTAAATTCGTTTAAAATATGTTGGTTATTCGATTCTAAATTTGCACTCAAAAAACTGTTAAAACAATTTGTTGAAAAAGTATTTTTGTGTGTCAGTATTGTGGAGTTAGGGGTTTAAATTTTCGTGTAAATTCAATTATTTTTTTCATCGGATAACAAATGTGATTACTATGGTAATTAAGGACAATAGAGGTATTCAAGCGAGACATCTTCCGTTCAAACTAAGGATCGCATAATTAAATGGCATCCGCGGATGTAAGCCACATAAATCTTGTACAATGACCTTTGGAGGCAGTTTATTGAAACGGGTGTACGATTTATTTGTGCCTTCATCCGTAATGTTCCGGTGTTCCAAACGAGGTGTGTTGGGGCAAAGTCATATTTTGAATGGTTGACAGTTGTATATTGGTTTTTTAAATTTTGTGTAGTGCGTGTGTGTAGAACGACCTATCTTTATTTGTTTGTCACTTAGGGTCGGCGCATACAGTTTAAAACCTTAATGTGGTTTAGTTTTTATGGCCGGCTATCTGTCGTCAACCCTACTTGGCAAAGTAAATGAAACTTATATATTTCTTTATCTTATAATTATAGACGTAGGTAGAATAGTTTTGGATATTCGGAAATATTAGATAATGTATTTTTTCACTCTACAAAAATTTTAACATGAGGTAAAATAACTGGTTTCTTACTTTTATTGTTGTTGTAAAAACCATAATTGAATCTATACTATTATAATAAAGCGTAAACACACACTTCTTTGTTGCCTAAGATGTCAGCAATTACAGCATATTTTTGAATAATGTTTTTTTTTTAATAAAAAGCGCTTTAGGCTATATTTTCACGCCATTAAACTTGGGGGTATAAATTTTGGATAAAACCCTAATGTGGGATAGAGGCCATAAGTTGCTGCCAACATCAAGAAAGCAAGATTGTTAAGGTTTTTCATGTCATGTCATTTTGACATTTGTAATTTATAATTTGACAAATGGAAACAATAAACTAAGTTTTCATAATTTTATGCGGATAAAGCCGCGCGGCAACAGCTATTCTTTAATAATGTTGTGCAAAATATAGTAAAGGCTGTCTATATTCTTATTAAACTAAGATAACTAAGTAGTTTTTTAACTAAGATTATCTAGACCTCATTGTAGACTCTACACAGGTGCTCACTATCAAAGTCTCATAGCACGTCCTGATTAGGAAATGCCGGGATTTGTATGTAAGACGAGGGTCTACAACAAACAAGGGCTTAAAATTCAAACGATATTACTGTCACCGGATAATCGTGAATGTTGTCAATTTGTAATTTACTTAGACAAAATACATATCCGAAGGAATTAATAAATAACAAATGAATAAACAGGACTTTTATTACCACAAAAATAAACTCCAAATAAAATACAGGAACCTTAAATCTAGTAAAAAATTGAGCAAAAGGTAACGAGGTAAAGATAGTAAGGTAATAGACAAGTCATATTTATACTTAGTGAATATGTTTCATTGGACGTTACACGAATCGAGTAAGTCAGTCCACCATCCTTTTATCATCTACTGACCTTAACCATATAAAGGGTCGGCGCAGTATATGCTGCTCTTCCATACATCTCTATCAGCCGTTATTAAATTCACTCTCTTAGGCATATCATCTTAGTCCTTTATTGGCTGCAAAAATGAGACACATTTATAAACTTTGTAAACTGGTAACTTTGTAAATTAACTAGATTTGTAATTTGTTTATGAGTTAACTGTGTGTTCACAATTTACAGGTGACATTACACTTCGCAGTACAAGCGTAGTCTCCCCCGCATTGATCGGTAGCGCCCCCTGCCTTCATTACCGATTATACTCAGGAACCGTGTACCAATGATGGATAGCCGGAACTTACTATGGTCCCAGTAATGTCTATTTCACTATCTATATATTGTTCGTATTATTTACTAAAACAATTGCAGATTAATTTCACTCTTAGATTTTGAATTTACTTCTATTAATTAAGAATTTGATTAAAGTGTAAAGTTTAACAGTGGTAGTGCCCGCTTTAACATGTTAGCACTGCAGGGCCGGCACGCCCCCAGTAATACCACGACCACACAGAAGACAGCCGTGAAATGGAACCAATGCCGTGTTTCATCTGATGAGTGTGGTGCCGGAGGCCTAATTTAAGTCCCTTTCTCTTTACCACCCTCCTCCTTATGAGAGGATGGGAAGGGGAAGTGGATTTGACGATGGAGGAGATGCATAGGAAGAGGAAATATCCTCTTTATGTGCGTCTCCTCCTCCGTCGGATAAGGGTAGGCGACGCATCTACAATTGCAGATGTCTATGGGCAGCGGTCGCTTTGCCATTTTGGCGGATTCAGGTGGCCGCTTGCTCGTTTGCCATCTTATGTTATAAAAAAAAAGATATTTTTACAAAGCAATTGATTCAATATGTTGTAAATTTCCATAAAGTACGAGTCTGTAGTGATTTATCACTGAATAAATTTTTTCAAGATATTCAATTTAACATACTTGAATTAATACTTCAGAAATATTTGAATATCTCGATATGATCTAGACTTTATCATGTTTGAAATTAACATTCTATTAAACACAAGTATTCTGAGTAATAAAAAAAGTTGATATTCATAAAGAGCTTTTGATACATGTATGAAAAATTATAGGTCTGTTTATTAAATTCAAATTGCTTTCGAATTCGAATTTCAAATTGCACCGAAATAACAAATATTGAATCAATTATTTTGTAAAAATATTTTTGAACAAATTCTCTTGTTTCCACATTTTTCCGTCAATTAGTAACTTAGTAAAGTTGGCACTATCTTTTTCCAAAAGAATAACTAGAGACATGTGTTCGTACAACTGTTTTGCAACAATGCAGAATATATCTTAACATATGTTAGCGACAAGCTGTTGCTCGCGACTTCACGGGAAATAAAAAAAAATGTATTCTATGTTACTCACAGATGAATTACCTTTTTAGTGGTAAAAGAATTTTCGAAATCGGCCTAGTAGTTTTTACGTGAATCGAATACATACAAAATTACAAATCTTTCCTCTTCATATTAGTATAAATGTTGCTTGCAACATCGTCCCCGTGTAATTAAAAAAATAATAAAATACATAGTCTATGGTACACACTGATATTTTACCTTTCTAAGAAAGAATATTTGAAATCGATCCAGTAGTTTTAGTGAATATTACATTAAAAAATCCAAAAATACAAATCTTTCCTCTTTATAATATTAGAATAGATGAAGGAATTACTGCAAGAGCGCATCAATTAAACTTGGTATAGTATAGCGGCGGAAGTGGATACGCGGGCTGCGTTGGGGGTCCCAGTGTGTGCACAACTTTAGCCTGTTTGTCTTAGATTTATGCTGCAACTTTGCTTAAATAGAATACGTGCGATCATGTATACTAAGCTTATTAGGTCACGACCACCCAGATTCACTAATGCTCAGATTATATTTTAGGAAGTAAGATAAAGAAGAAAATCAACAAAAATCCCACATGGATTCAAAAAACAGGATGTACAGTCAGCTACATAAATATGTAGTATATAAAACTTTGAACATGAATGTACAGTTAAGTTTTCTTATAAGTGACTATATATGTAGAGTAAAAATCTTTATTATTTTAATCTATACTTATACATACTAATGTAATAAAGCGTAAACATGCATTACTTCGTGGCGTAAGATGTCAGCAATCACAACATATTATTAAAAAAATAATTCTTCAATGAAAAACCCTATACTTATGACACGCTTTAGGTTACATATTTTCACGCTATTAAACTTAGGAAGTAAATAAATAGGATAAATACCTTCATGTTAGAAAGGGACCATAAACTACAAGCTACCAACATTAAGGAAGCAAGGTTATTATGGTAACGGTAATTTTGACATTTGCAATTGAGAATTTGACAAATATAAACAATAAAATAAAGTTTTTACAATTTCAAAATGAAGCAGCACGGGAACAGCTATTACTAAATATACGTAAAAGATGGAAGTATATTCTTTCACAATATTCTTTTATATTTTAAATCTTATTTAACAAAATTACGCTTCGTTCGAGTACAACGTACGCCATTACGCGACTCTCCCGCATTTTATCAAGCTTGTTAGTAATATGCTTGATTCTTTGTTAAAGAGCTTTGTACGAATCTGGTTGGAAATTGTAAGATAAGTCACAGAGTAAAATGTTAACAGTACAACCATAATTAATTTATTTAAACATTCGTAAGATAAAAACTACTTCATAGTTTACCTCATGTATGACCGACTAGTGTGACCGGGAGGTCCATCTTCCAGGGTATATTTGGTTTTCTTTACCGTCCCGTCGTGTCTCGCACCATCAGATATTACGTGAGTTAAGCCATTTCTAACCAGTTTTAATAAAACTACATGTTTACTAGAAGGTCTCAGAATGCAAATGTTAATACTTCGAATTGGACCATATTAATTTTATCACCTTTTGTAATGACTGAATTTTCACTATTTGCCTTAAAGAGGCATTGACAGCTCCACAGCCGAACGCGGATGGCGCTCAGCTCAGCCTATCGTTTATGAGTAACTAAGCTTCCTCGATGGCTCGATGTATCCCCGTCATCCATAGACCTAGATCATCAGCTTTCCACGCCCACGTGGTATTATCATGCTCTTTCTAACCTTAAATTTTCTTTTTCAGGTAAAGAACAAGTATACGGAAGTAAGGACAACAGAAGTAGGTTTTCAAATTAATTCCATTATTAATAACACAACGCAAAATCAATTTGGACTTCAAAAAGCCCGTCGACGTCTCCGGTACGAAATATTTTCGGAAATGGAAACGTTCCCCGTTGTCAAAGTACTGACAGACTGACAGGTGCGAAATTAAACTTTATTATTACATTAATTTAATATTGTACAAGGGACAAAGATTGGACTCTAGGCCTGATTGTTCGACGAGCGAACACCTATTAATTTTTGGCTTGAAAGGCGACAACATCGTATTGTTACCCGCCAATAAATATTTTCTTTGTGGGATACCTTAATTACAATCTTTTGATTTATTTCTAATACTGTTCAATAGAAAAGTTTTATAACCGAAATTACTTACCAAAACAGAAGGTACAGACTTCAAAAAAGGTTGTTAGAAATTATTAACAAAAAAAATTGTCATTAAAAATAATTAACGGAACAATAATAGAATTTAATAAATATTTCTAGAAGAATTAATTATAAATGTCGCTTGTAATTTCTACGGAACACAAACAATAAGAGTAATTAAAATAATCGGCTCACAAACTACTGGACTTAGAAATTGATATTTCTGTTACTACGTATTAAGAAAGAAGGTGTATTTTAAGCTTCATTCAGATTTGTCCTGTTTTGAACTTTTAAACTCCACGCGGAAGAAGTCTCGGTAACAGTTAGTTAATTACAAATATCGCTTATAATTTCAACGGAGTTATATTTAGAAATAAAGATAATAATAATATTCCTTAGAATAGAACAGTCTACGCTAATAAAGTAAATCGTATTCCATCCCCTATTCAGTGTAAATGGTGTCCAAGCATTTGTATCAATTACGTCACATTCGACACACTGACGCTCATATTTCTTAATCCTGACCTCCATAAAAATAACGCTTTCAACGAGACCCCTCTTTTTTGTACACCCTACTTAATTGTTAGTGCGTTCAAATCATAATTTTAAAGCATTCAATAGTGTATATATTTGAATTTTACTAATCTTACTTGTTACTAATTATTAATGCGAAAGTTTAGTTGGATGGATGTTTGTTAGAGTTTGTAGCCTAAACGGCTCAGCGAATTTCGATGAAATTTGGTATGGAAGTAGAGGATAGTCCGGAAGAACACATAAGCCACTTCATTTTTTTAATTTCACGCGGACGGAGTCGCGGGCGAAAGCTATCCTATAAAATGAATAGTGTTTGAAAGTTTTCTTTTATAGTATTCGTACACAATTACGTTAGCATGGAATTAAAACAGTTGACACTTTGTATGTAACAATAGCTGCTGCTCGCGACTTCGTCCGCGGGAAATTAAAAAAAATATAAAAAAGTATAATTTATGTTACTCACTACTAACTTTGGTTTTTAATGTCAAATTTTTAAAATCGACCCAGTAGTTTTTGAGTTATTTCAATACATACAAAAATACAAATCTTTCCTTTTTATACTATTAGTATAGATTCAGTTACTCCAATATTAATTTTTCTTCATTTTCATTTATTTATCAGTGACATAAAAGTGATATTGTCAATTATTGTAACTTTTATCATCTAATTCAGACTAGGTAAGCTAATTTTACACTATCGATATATTTAAAACAAAAGATTCTATTTAAATCTTCCAAAATATTATCTTTTTCATTTATATTCATGATCTTGAGAGCTTAAAAAGTCAAAAAAGACAATATCGACGTCAAACTGCGGATATTGAAATAAATCCGATGTTCAAAGGCTTCAGTGAGAGCGGGATTGCTTTGTAACTGACAGCGGACTTTAACATTATTATGTTCAGTATTAACAAAGTCATCCTTACAATTAGTTACATTTGTAAAATATTGTATCTCGTTCGATGTAGTGATGACCATACAATAACGGACGATTATATTTTAACGTTTTGCTTTATCGATGAGGGTTTTCAATGTTCTGTGCTCGAATTAATTCCATTGTGATCTGTGATTCAACCTAGATCATTCGATTCGTTTGAATTGAAAGAATTAATAGTGAAAAAAAAAAAGATTTAAATTAACAACTAGTACCTCAAATAAATCTTTGTTTAAAAAACGGTAATTTGTAAATAAAATATCAGCGTCTTTAATACGCCTATTTACGGAAATGTAATCGCATTATTGAATAATTTTAATTTTAAGTATCGATATTTTCAATAAATATCATCGGCACATCACTAATCATATCAATCTCATTATATTATAATAGGATGTAATGGGCGTGTATTTAATTCATCTAATTAGTGATGGCTGGCTTAAATATCGAGTTTCAAATGTAACGTTTTATTAGCAATTTGATGGGTAATTAGATGTGATATTCAAAAGGTTTTAAAGCAACCCTTTTATATTGAATATAATGAATACATCGCGCTAATGTTTAATGTTACTAATTAGCTTCGTGGTGATTCAAATATATTTTACAATATTAAATCTTCAATTGACAGCACTTCAATCGCAATTAGGAGTCCCAGTTAGTCCGATCGATCCAACGATCGCTCGACTCTTAGGTATATTTTGAATTACTGCAAAAAAACTTAAATATATGTTCAGAATTGTATTGTTATTTGCACTTGTAGACATTAATAATTCAAGTAAGAAATATTTTCTTTTTTTTATTAGTGAAAGTAAAAGCCCTGTAATCGAAATGATTGGGACATAAACCAGAAAGTGTTAAGATTGAATGTGGATGGCTACAAAGGAAGAGGAAGACCGAAGAAAGTATGGATGGATTGTGTGAAAGAGGATATGCTTAAGAAAGGAGTGGATTCAGGTATGACGGCTGATAGAGATGTATGGAAGAGCAGCACATACTGTGCCGACCCTCCATAAGGGATAAGGGCAAGTGGATGATGATGTAAAAGCCCTGTAATCAATTTTTTACGTCACATTATAATTAAAACGCATGCTAAGTAATGTTTGATAACAGGAATATGTCAAAAAGTTTACTGAAATCTATAAAAAAGGATAACAGCCAATAAAAAAAACTATCATTCGATTGTATTCAAATCTTACCGAAACAATCAGTCTCTTAAACGTCCCTTTTGATCCCCTCATTATCTCTGGCAGAATATAGACTGCATTGAGAAGTCAGAGAAAAAAGTCTGAACAAAAATCGCCATATGTCCATCTTACTCTTCAAACTAGATTAAATTTCAATCGAAAAGTCACTCTATTTCTCTTGTAATAAAGTATAAAATCGATTGTTTAAGACTGAATGGTAAATTATGCGCCTCAACTGGAAATGTCGCGGCTAATTTAAAACACAGACAGAAAGTCCAATGTCGAATATAGTAAAAATAAAAATGAATGTTTTTTATAGACAAGTCCAACATGAGTTATTTCTAAATGGAAACTAGTAGAAAAAAACTGTTTTAATTGTACGGAATCGCCTTTTTTCTCTCTTTTTACTGTACTATAATAAATTAGATTTTATCTGTGAGACATATTTTACTGCGATTGTCATAAAACGGGTAATTAATCTTTTTTGTCTTGTGTTATGGTTGAAATGATTTAGTGTATTTTTTAGTTGTGTATGTCAGAGTTTATGTGGTTTATTTGAGTTAATAACTCGTATTAACTATTAAAATAGTTTTATGAGATTAATGTTACAATTAATAATTCAAACGTGCCTGCAGATACATTTTTTTATTATAAGATAAGGTGGCAAACGAGCAAACGGCCACCTGAATCCACCGAAATGGAAAGCGTCTCTGCCCATAAACATCCGCAATTGCAGATGCATTGCTCCTTGATTGACGGAGGAGGAGACGCACATAAAGAGGACATTTTCCCTTCCTATGTGTAACCTCCAATGTCAAATCCACTTTTCCTTCTCATCCTTTCCTGTTAAGAACAGGGTGGAAAGGGATAGGGACTTACATTAGGCTCCCGGCACCACACTCATCAGAGGAAACGCGGAATTGCTTCCACTTCACGCCTGTTTTCTGTGTGGTCGTGGTATTACACCAGTCGAGCCGTGCGAAGATGTTAAAGCGGGCTCTGCCACTGTTAGTATACTAATTATTTAGGTTTTAAGGCCTTATGAATGCATATGCATATACTCATACAGGAAGGGGAAATTTCCTCTTTATGTGCGTCTCCTCCTCTGTCGATTTTGGGTAGGCAACGCATCTGTACTTGCAGATGTCTATTGGCAGCGGTCGCTGTCTAAATTAGCGGCCACCTAACCGCTTGCTCGTTTGCCACTTTAAAATATAAAAAAAAAATGTTTTGTGCTTTTATTATTTTGTATGTGTTTGAAATAAAGTACATATGTCTTTCAAAAGGTACGAAATGTATATTTCCATACAGCAATGAACTAAGTAAATAAAAGAAAAAAAATATATGAATAAATCTATAAATTGAGCTAGTCCTACCCCATAGTCGTTTGACGCCGACGTTGTCAATTATAAAACTTTAACGAAATAAACATTTATAAATCGTCGAATCTCATCTTTCCAAAATCACAGTAGCAAATTAGTGAAATTTGTTAAAAATAATTAACAAATGCAATTTATAACGTCCTAAAATTTTAAATCTAACTTTATTTAATTTGACATTTTAAATCAATAACCAATAAAGTATCTTGTAAGCGTATATTAGATGTTAATTTATTCTATACCCATTGACCTTATTGAAAATAGGTTGGAGATCTAAATGTCAGCCCTATCGACTTCTGAGCCGCCGCCATGTCGCCGACAAAGGCTAGGGCTGCACTCGACAAACGTTAGGGCTGTCCCTATTCGACTCATAGCGATTACTAGCTGTATGGATCAATCATTTTGAAAAGTGAATATTTATACATATATAGTCTCCACGTCTTACTTTTTACTACTATAAATAAAAAGTCTAGATGGGTTTTGTTAGATGTAGCCTTAACTGCTGAACGGATCACGATTAAATCTTATTTCTTACTAATATTATAAATGCGAAAGTTTGGATGGACGGATGTTTGTTACAGTTTGTAGCCTAAGCGGCTGAATTAATTTGATGAAATTTGGTATAGATGTAGAAGATGGTCTGGAAGAACACATAGGCTACTCACTTTTGTTTACATAAATTCCATGCGGACGGAGTGGCGGGCGAAATCTAGTTTGATATATATGCAGAGTATAGTCTGAAAGAA